ACCCCAGGCTCTACCAACTGGCAGACATTCACAGGCAGCAAAGATACAGGAATGGGGTCCCAGCAGGCTGTGAGCTCCCACATCCCTTTCCCGGCTCTTTCCTGGCTGTGGGAAGGAAAATCAAACTCAGTTCCAGCATGTCCCTTCACAGTGATTCTCCCCACACATTATTTGTTGCTTTCACTACTCAGGCTAAGGTACCAGCCACGGCCACCACATGTTGGGTGAGATGTCTCACATTTTTCATGGCTTATCTGGTGAGGTAGGTGCAAATGGATAGGATGAGGAGTCTCCCACAAGGAGCTGCCTCCACATCTTCTGCCCTAACTTGATTACTTGTGTCCAAGTGCTTTGAACAGTGCTCTGCAGCTAGGTGAGGCTTGCCCTGCTGGCTTCAAAACCTGGGGAAAAAACCAGATGAACTTGAAGCATTTGGGAAGAATGTGTTCAATCGGGCTTAGTAAATGTCTTTAAAAAAAAAATCAGCTGATGTTCAAATACTGTTCTTCCCCTGCAGCTCCCAGGACATGTTCCAGTCTCCAAGTAAATCATGGAACCTCTGAAACCTCTGCACACATCACAGTTGTGCAGCAATAATGCATGAGAGAACAGTTCCTACCGCCAAAAAAAAAAAAATCATTTGTGATGGCCCATAAATCAACAGAGTGTGTCATTTCATATGGCCAAGGGCTGTGAGCAAGCAGAGTGCTGCACAGCGAGGTGACAAATTCATTTTGGATGTCAGAAGCAGCAGAGCTTTCCAGTCAATCTCTGACTGCAGTGACCAAATTCAGATTTATGGATCCAGCAGATTCGTCTTGTTTTATTTTCTATTAATTCATTCCCCTGCAGATGAGAGAAAAGAGAAAATGCCAGTACCCTGACCTGCAGCAGAGGGAAGGAAGTTAGGGGTAGATGCCTCCTCAGCAAGTTCACTGAGGACACAAAGCTGGGAGGAGTGACTGATACCCCAGTGGTATGGGACAGTACCCAGAAGTACCGGGTATTCAGTATGGGAATACCCCAGGGTGCTGTGCAGCCCTTCAGAAGGACCTCAACAGGTTGGAGAGATGGGCAGAGAAGAACAGTCTGAAATTCATAGAATCATAGAATCAGCCAGGGTGGAAGGGACCTCTGAGATCATCAAGTCCAACCACTGATCCAACACTGCCATGGTTACTAGACCATGGCACTAAGCACCACATCCAGTCTCATCTTAAAAACCTCCAGGGATGGAGAATCCACCACTTCCCTGGGCAGCCCATTCCAATGCCTGATTACCCTCTCTGTAAAGAATTTCTTCCTAATATCCAACCTAAACCTCCCCTGGCAGAGCTTAAGACCATGCCCTCTTGTCTTACTGAGAGCTGGCTGGGAGAAGAGACCAACCCCCACCTGGCTACCACCTCCTTTCAGGGAGTAGTTGTAGAGAGTGATGAGGTCTCCCCGAGCCTCCTCGTCTCCAGGCTGAAGAACCCCAGCTCCCTCAGCCTCTCCTCATAGGACTTGTGCTCAAGTCCCTTCACCAGCCTTGTTGCTCTTCTCTGGACCTGCTCCAGCACCTCAATATCCTTCCTGAACTGAAGGGCCCAGAACTGGACGCAGCACTCCAGGTGTGGCCTCACCAGTGCTGAGTACAGGGGAAGAATCACTTCCTTGGTCCTGTTGGCCACACTGTTCCTGATACAGGCCAGGATGCCATTGGCCTTCTTGGCCACCTGGGCACACTGCTGGCCCATGTTCAGCTTCCTGTCAATCCAAACTCCCAGGTCCCTTTCTGCCTGGCTGCTCTCCAGCCACTCTGTGCCCAGCCTGTAGCACTGCAGGGGGTTGTTGTGACCAAAGTGCAGGACCCGGCCCTTGGTCTTGTTGAACCTCATCCCGTGGGAATCAGCCCAACTCTCCAGTCTGTCCAGGTCCCTCTGCAGAGCCCTCCTGCCTTCCAGCTCATCGACACTCCCCCCCAACTTAGTGTCATCTGCAAATTTGCTGATGGTGGACTCAATCCCCTCATCTAAATCATCAATAAGGTAAATGGAGGGTCCTGCACCTGGGGAAGAACAATCCCATGTACAGGCTGGGGGCCAACCTGCTGGAAAGCAGCTCTGCAGAAAAGGACTTGAGAGTCCTAGTGGACAACAAGCTCTCCATGATCCAGCAGTGCCCTTATGGCCAAGAAGGCCAGCAGTATCCTGGGGTGCATTAGGAAGAGCATTGCCAGCAGGTCGAGGGAGGTGATCCTGCCCCTCTATTCAGCCCTGGTCAGGCTATACCTGGAGTGCTGTGTCCACTTCTGGGCTTGTCAAGACAAGAGAGACACGGAGCTCCTGGAGCAGGTCCAGTGGAGAGCCACAAAGAGAATTAGGGGACTGGAGCATTTCTCACGAGGACAGGCTGAGGGATCTGGGCCTGTTCAGCCTCAAGAAGAGACAACCAAGAGGGAACCTCATCAATGTCTATCAGTATCTGGGGGGAGGGTGCCAAGAGGATGGACCAGTCTCTTCTCAGTGCTGCCAACTAATAGGACAAGAGGCAATGGGCAAAAACAGATGCACAGGAAGTTCTACTTGAACATAACTTTGCTGGGCAGTGACCACACATTGGAATAGATCATCCAGAGAGGTTGTGGAGTCTCCCTCACTGGAGATATCCAAGAACTGCCTGGACACAATGCTGTGCCATGTGCTCTGAGATGACCCTGCTTGAGCAGGGAGGTTGGACCACATGATCCACTGTAGTCCCTTCCAACCTGACCCACTCTGTGATTCTGTGATGTCAGCCCCTCTCAAATCAATTGGGAGAGCAGGAAAGGAGGAATGGGTTCTTCCTAAACTGAGCTTGGCATTCACAAGGCAAAACAGGGCTGCATGATACTCTTTTGGACAGAGTGGAAAATAAAGGTAACATTACTGGGGACTGAAATGGTGGATATTTGTAACAGGGAAACCCTAGCACCTATTGCTTATGATGGGCTTGATGTCTGGATCTGTCTTGCTGTGTTTCGCACACAGATCGCACGTGCACCTTAGATGCTTCCAATAAAAGCCTGACATCTCTCCAAGGCACAGCCATGAGGGGCAGGCACCATCTCCACCTCCTGCTTTCACACAAAGCCCAGATGCCCCTCACTGTTATGGGTTTGGCTGCAGAAAGCAAAAGCCCTGCCTGGGCATGTTTCTTCTCTGGGCTTTTACTCCGTCCCCTGTGCAAGCACAGGAGCATCAGCAGGACATTTTTGTCTGGAAGAAAAGCTGAAGGGAAAGATGGTCCATTAAGAGCCTCATGCCTGGGTTACAGAGCAGACTACAGCTGTATTAGATGAGCTGGCCTCCCACACAGGAGCACAGTGTGAGGTTCACCTGCTCCTGGAAAACTGAAAGGAGCAGAAGCATCCATCTGCTCATTCATTTCTTGAATTTGGTATCCAAACCTTAACTTACTGGGAGAGAGCAGAGTTTCCAACCTGAAGAGCTCCCGAGTTCCCTTCACCGAACCAAGGAGGGGAAAGGGGAGATCATGACTGACCAAATCCAAGGCCAAGTCCCTGCTGCTTTTCTTTGATCTCAGTGAGGAAAAAAGCACACTCTGTGCAAACCTATTAATGGTTTCCTTCTCTTTACAATGGAAAATTACACCTACTTATCTGCCTCCAAGGGAGATGTTTGCATTTAATTGTCTGCTATTTGCAAAATACTTTGAAAGCCACGCAAAGAAAACAGTTGATAAGAGCTGATCATTCCACATATGTCAAAGGAAGCAATGATCAGGATGTCTTCAGGAGAGCCATTTTTCTCTACCCTTCTCAGTACCCAAACCTGGGTAGCACTAAACAGTGGTAAAGTGAGTTGCTGTTAGGGGAGTTTGTGCAGAGAGGTGTTAGTTCTGCTTCACATCTCTATGGGCAGGAGGGGCCCCATCAGCATTAGCTAATTTGGATGAGCCTGTTATTGGAGAGCAACACAGTCACCCCTTGGCAGAGGGGCACTGCAGCTGCCAGTCAAGCACAGGGGACACTTGCTTATCATCTCAGTGCAAATAACATGCTCTCACCTGATTTTCACAACATTGCCATTTATAATGCCCCCATCTGTACCACGGCCCCCTCCTCTGGCAAATCCCCCTCCACATTCCAAATGTTGCTTCTTCCCCAGTTCAACAACTAAGATAAAAGAACTGCCTTTTGGGGGTGGCAGGGTTGGGGAGCAGGGGAAGGAAAAGTTATTCTATATACTCATATCCTCAACCATTTCCCTTCAGAGAAACACAGCAGGGCCTTTTCCAAACCCTGAGCTGAGCATATATGCATGAGCAGACCGCTTCATTCAGCCCACACCTCCACAGCACTGCTTGGCCAAAGCTGCTCAACAAGCACAAAGACACTGTCCACAAGCTGCACGAACTGGTCCTATTTCACTCAGGGCTCCCCAGCTCCAGCCGTGTCCCACATCTGGCAGCATCTCCCAGGCCAGCTGGATCCAGCGCCCTCCCTGGGTTTTTGGTGGCAGACAGCTCCCTCCAGTGGGGCCACCACACCATGCACACTTCTTCCCGGAGAAAAGAGGTAATTCAGATTTTAACCCCCTCAAACCAAACAAATAAAAAAATTAGCAGCCTCCAGCTGCAGGACAAGCTGGGGAGGCACCTGTGCTTTACGACTGGGGTGGTAGTGCTGCTTTTTGCAGCCAGCATCTGGACAAACAGCATCTATGCAAGCACCAAAAATGCCACCCACATCATTCAGTGAGCAGGGCCCACCTGCTATAACATCACCAGGATTCTCACCAAAACTTTAAATCAAGTTCTGGAGGTGTTCCTCAGCCAGGGTGGAAGTAACACCCCACAGATCCTCAGGTCATGCCAGGGCTTCCCATAGAGCTCTGCCTGAGGGGCAGGAGAAAGCAAGCAGCACTGAGCAGGATGCAGAATAACTTTTAATTTCTTAAATTAAGCACCAAAACATCTTATTTCCTTTTTTTCCTTAAAAAAAAAAAAGTGTTTAATTTTGACATACTGACAGCTCTGTGCAGCTCTTGAGCAGGGTAAATCAGCAGATGTACAGCAGTGTGGAGCAAGCATTTTGCTGAGTGAATATTAAAAAAAAAAAATTAAATTACAAGACTAGGAACACTGTTGTGGGATATTCATGGTCCATAAAACACAGCAGAAGGGTTTGCACAGCCAGTGGCTTGTGTCAGCTGGGAAAGGCAGGAGTGCCTGCACAGGTCACTAGGGCCACAGGGGGGCTGGGGAAGACCTGCAACTCCCTCAGAGTGGGGAAGACTGCTCCAGAAAGACTTGGCACACCTCACCATGGTGGGCATGGACACTCCACAGCCACTCGGGGGGCCTGGCCCGCAGCTTCAGCTGGAAGGGGTCCAGGCGCAGGCACTCCCCCAGGTCATGCAACTCCATCTCTGGCTCCTCCACGGCCCTCACTGATGGCTCCTCGAGGCCTGGGCTCCTCCTGGGGTGCTGTCTCCAGATGGCTGTCACACAGAGGATACCAGCAGCCACCAGCATCATCAGGACAGACACGATGGCTGCCCCCACCAGGATGTCAGTGTGACGGAGGAAGAAGCTGATCCCTGCCAGAGAAAGGCCACAGCCTCATCCCAGGGGCCATTGCCCCAGAGGCCCCCAGTGTGCTCACAAAGTCCCCCACATTGTGACTGCAGTGCTCAGGTGTGAGACCTATGTCTGTGGGTGCTCCTCCAGGAAGTTCAACCTCTTCTTGCCTCCTGCTGTCCAGAAACCCTCACTCACACCTGCCCTCAGGGCAGAGCATCTCTCCCAGACATCCATCCCAAAGAAATATTTAGACCAAGAGCCAGCCTGCAGGAGCATCACAGGCTGGTGATGCCCCAGGAGAACCCCAACAGAGTAGAGCCATTGTCAAACCCACAGGGACTAAAATACCTGCTGCTGTTCCCATCCAGGCCTGAAGGGACCCTCTCCATGACCCAATGGATAAACATAAATTTATAAAATTATCTATACCTGAATATAACCAGCTGATCTGGATAGGCTTAGACTGCACAACTGGTTAATTAACTTGCAGTCAGTAGGATGGGTGAGAAATTATATTTGGTTCACAGTTATATATTTTGACTCACATTGAGGTTTAAGCCACTGCAGGGATGTGAAGTAGTTTTGGTAAAGCAGCAGCAGAGTTTTGAGTACAAATTGCAGAATATTGCTGTTTTTCAGGCTGCAAGGCCTCATTACTCTGCAAGATTGGATTAGCCATCTCTGATTATAGTCAAGCACCATGTGCTATCTGCTCAGCCTTGTGTCAAATACATCAGGAGAGCTCTGGGGTAGACACCAGGAACATCAATGTCCTTCTCACCAAGATCTACACAGTATGACAGGAGAACACAGGGCACTACCAGGAGTGACCAAGTTTGCTGATCACATCAGTTACAGCAGAGGTAGCTCATAAATCACCCTTGACCTTGCTTATAACTTCAAGGCTCACGTGCCAAGTTGTAGCCCTGATACAGGGAAAGTAGCAGACTGGGGAAAGGGAGGCTCATGGAGAGGTTATAGTGCCAGCTGCAAACTGCCTTGCAAAGATATTATACATCTATATAAGGACATCTAAACCCACCAATTCAGTAACATCACATATAATAGTGCACCAATTACTCACCCACATACAAGAAAACACCCAGCTGCAAGAGAAAGCAAAACTGCTGTTTTGTCCTCTACCTGATCGGGGAGTGCGGATGCAGAGGGTGCCGGACTTGGTGGGAGAATGATCCTCATAGCCCTGTTTGCAGCGGCAGAGGTAGGTGCCCACGCCATTGAAGCACTCTGCCTCCTCCCCGCAGAGGCCAACCCCGGCATTGCACTCGTTCACGTCTGTGATGGGGAATAGATGCCCTAAATCAGGTCAGCCTTGGCATAAAAGGGTTTCTCCCGGGGAAAAAAAAAAAAGGTGAACCACCCACCTTCAACAGACAGCGAAACAAGCTGCAGCTTCTCTGCTCCGACTGAGGTGCCAAGCAGCTCCTCTAGCTGGGAGCGCAGGAGCAGAGACACATTCCTCTCCTCCGGCTTCAGGTGCAGCCAGAAGGTGAGCAGCAGGTTGGCATCCCTTGTGCTGCAGGTGAGGGAGAGTCCAGGGTAAGGCAGGAGGGAAGAGTCACTGCAGGCCTGCCAGCTCTGATAAGCCCATTTAGACCTTCCACTCACTCCTATTGGATCGTGGTGCTGCAGGCTCTTGCAAAAATTATTTGTGACAAGAGGCAGCTTTGCACTTGGACCAAGGGAAAAAGGAAAGCCCAGCTCCTCATTTGGAGCTAGGCTGAAGTGACGAGACATTTGTGTAAAGTGAATTGTAGTGGCAATCTGAAGTCCCAGATAAGCCTCAGCCAAGTGCAGCAGCACCTTGCTGGCAGCTCCCAGCTTTATCCAGCAGGTTTTGTGGGGCAAGTGTGAGAATTCTCACTTTTCTCTAGAGTTTAAATCCATCTTAGACCTATGTAGGCCCCAGCTAGCACTAAACGTCAATTTTCACCATCTTTCCTCTAGAAAAACAGATTTTTTTTTTTTTTCTAATTTCAGGACAAGTTACAGATCACAGGAGAGGAGAAAGCACGTGTCTGCCTGGGGAAGGAGAATGAGAAGCCAGACAATACAAGCAAAGAAATATTACAGGTTATAGCAGTCACCTGCCAAGACAGCAGCACAGCAGTAACCCTACCTTTTGACATCATTTAACTTTATTTCATTGACTCTGTTGGCAGAAAGTTTCAGGTTCTTCTGTATCTGCAAAGGAACAGAGCAACCAGTGCTGATTTGACATTTGACAGGAGTATGACAGCAGTTTCTTTTCTCAGTTTAACTCCCCATCCTGCTCTTCCCCTTCACAAACCACCTGGGATGCAGTAGATGTCCCAAAGCCCACTGCTCTGAGCTTTATCTTTAGGAGAACACTAATTATTCCCATCTGCTTAGCTTCAGCTCAGCTCCCAAACACAAAAGTGAATTTGGAAAAAGGAAGGGCAATAGTAGCCCCAGGTAAGTGGGTATGAAGCCATTGCAGAGCAGCAGTTGAAGGGTAGCAGCTTTCTAGGCTAAGCAGGAGGCTGAACCCTGTAGCTCCTCCAGTCTGCATTCCAGAACGGAAGTTTAGGTGCAGCCCTGAAAGCAGATGCTCGCACACTTGCCCACTTCTAGGCTTTGGCTACAAGCTGCCCCATTTCCAGAGGCGACTTACAGCCCTCAGTTGGTTGTGTCCCTGTATCTGAAGTGCTTTTCTGCTGCCTTGTGATGGCATGGTGCTACGAAGGGCTAAACACCAGGCACTGCAGCCAGGCACCTCTGCCAAGGCATCAGAATTGGCCTCAGATGATGAACAGCACGAGCAAATAAGATACTGGTTCATCATGTGGCTCTAGCAGAAAATCTCTGGAACGCATGGCACAGCATGGTCTCTTCTAATTGAAGATTTGGGACATTACATGTGGTTTTTCTCCACCTTCCCATACCCAGACTTACATGGTTCTTCATAGATTCGAGAAGACCCTTTCGGAGCTCACTTCCACCATGAGGAATCCAGTCCTTGGGTTTGACTTCCATAGTTACTTCAAACAGCATATCTACCAGAAGACACAAGATGCTGCATGTTCAAACCCACATAACACCGACAGGCTCCTTAAATGAGTTAGTCCTAAAACATCAGCACTGGCAGAACAAACCCATAAGGACATGTTTGTGCAAGTCATTGCCACGTGGGTATTTCCAGAGGCTATGCATCAGGTAGAACAAGTTGTTGAGTAACAGGTGATCAGAACTGATCTTTCCGTGAAAAAAGCATAAATAATGCATGTCCAATCACATTCACTGGTCTTTAGCTATTCTGTTTCCCAAAGGTATGGCCATAATTTGCGATAGAATCTAAAAGCCCACTTCTCTCACCCATCTCTGGGATCGGCTCAAATAAACTGCAGTGGTCTGGCTGAATCTAGGTTGGCACAAATTTTCCAGTCTGCTGTTTAAAACCTGTTTAATTCATCGATATTTCTCAGGTTCAGAGCTCAGGCTCCTTCTGTATTGGCTCCTTTTTGCAAGCTGTTTCTGTGGCTTGCTTTGCCATAGAAACCCAGCATTATGCTACCTAGTTGCTAGTCCTCCCATAAGGGGGTTTTGCTTCTCTCCCTGGTCTGAGGAGCAGGACTTCTGCAGGTTTCTGATTCCAGTAGTCACAAGGTGTCCATTGGAATGTATTGGAGGAATTGAAGTTCATTCACGTTAGAAAAGTCTTCCTTAAACAGCCAACAAGTAATGCTTAAACTTGAACAAGCCAGCATTTATGACAGGCATGTGAAATCAGGTTTCTCCAGGAGAGGTACAAAGTGGTGAAAGCACAACTGTGGGATTGCAGTGGTATCTTAAAAACTAACATCTTCAAAGTGGTTACTACTGACAAACAACCCCCACTGATTTCTAAATTTAATGAGCAGGTGATGTCTGGCACAGCCCCAGACAGCTCACTGAACTTCGGACAGTGTTTTAAGACACGCTCAGCTCCTTGCACAACTCACCTCCGGGATGGTGCTGGGACTGCAGTGCTGTGCCATTCTCCAGAGATGCCAGGGCAGAAACCAGATCTGTCAAAGAAAGGGAAAGCATCAGGCTGCTGAACTCAATGTACCAGTAATGGGGGAGGGAAAGGACATGAGGTCTGCGTCACTTTGCAAGAAGAGTGCCACATGCCAGCTCTTTTTTTCCAGTTTTTTTCTATTCTTTGCACTGAAATTAAATATCAAGCCCTAAATACAATCTGCTCTCCTCTGTAGTAGAAAGTGCTCTTTAGAAAGAAATCACCCCAATAAACCTCATTTCCATTTCTAGTTGCGGATGAAGTGTTATCCCTGTGAAGCCACTGGAGCCGCCTTGGAGCCCAACAGAGCAAAACTGCTTGTGCATTATGTGCCAGAAAATGAAAAAAAAAAAACCTAAATAAAATCTACGATGGAGGGGCAAGAACAGTTTGGAGGGGAGGAAACACCAATTGAAAACCTCTTCTACTTTCTGGCGGAAATTAACGTATACCAGTGGCTAAATATTTCTGTGAAAGTAGTCTGCCATCAACTTCTAGGAGATAAAAGCCTTTTTTCCCCCCCTTCTCCAACTTCTGGAGCTCAGACTCTGTGATCATGCCTGGGAGCACTGTGACAGGCTACATAAGAATCAATGCAAGCCAGAGATGTTTAAAGCCAAGATAACATTCACAGTGGAGAGGCTGGCTCCTCCATGGGTAATTCAAAACACTTGGATTAGAAACCAGCCTGTCCCTATCATGAGTAGTGTCATCCCATAGATAGCCATGTTATAGCAGATAATTCTGTCTTCTCAAGTACCTCCTGCCCTGGATACAGAAGTCAAGAGTACTTCTGCAGGGACCAACTGAAGGTAACAGCCATATCTACAAATAAAACCTCTTAAGAGAGTGATGCATCATTGGAGATGGATATCACACAATGTCAGGCATCAGTTCAGTCACAGATAACTCAAAAAACCACCTTACCAAAAAGCTCTTCTGTCCTTTCCCCCAGAGACACCGTATCACCAGCAGTCACACCAGGAGAGGGGTAGAGAGAAGGTTTTGTACTTATGTCTGGTGGTGGCTCTTCCAGCACTGGTGTCTGTGTGCGATGTGTAGCAGCAGCCACTTCTTCTGACAGGTTGTCACTGGCCTGACCCAGACTGGATGATTTGTCAGAGACACCTGCATTGCTGCTGGGCATCTCTGAGAAAGGTAAACCAGTTGAGTGACTTGGGACTGTGGTGGCCAGAGCAGCTACTGGCTCTACATCCCCCTTGGTCAGCCCCAAGGCAGATGGCTCAGCTTTACACCCAGTGTCTTGCCCAGCTGGAGCTGCCTCCACCAACACATCATCTTCAGTTTCTCTGCCCTCAGTGCTACCATCCTGAGGGCTCTTTTCCAGCTTGGTTTCATCCTGCAGTTGACCATGCTCACTCAGGTCAAGCTTGCTCAGGTTAGTACCAAACTGAGCATCTTCTGTGAGATCAGAAGGGTGTTGGGCCTTTCCATCTGGGCTCACAAGATCAGGCTGAATCCTGCCACCAGCAGGTGCAGCTGGTGGGTCTAGAGAGGCACTGAGCATGGACACTAAACCTTTTGTTGCCACTGTCCTCCAGCTCTCTTTTTTAGAGGTCTCCTGGACAGGCTCTCGGGGAGCTGCTATGGTATCGTTTGAAGAGCCCACAGCTTCAGAGTCTCTGAATACGTAATACTGTCCCTTAAAATATTTGTATTCATGGCTTTGGGAGCCACTCCCTGACAGAAACAACACCTGGACCTCAGTAGCTTGCGTAGCAAAGACCAGAGTGCCTCGGTTGTGGCAGGCATACACCACTTTGGTTTCCACACTTGATGAGACCCCCTGGAAGATGATCTTGTCCTGGTTGCTGCCACAGCCGTCGCTCCCCTCAAATCCCTGGACGTAGATGACAATGTGCTTCTGGGGGCCTGCCCAGATGGTCCAGTTGCACCAGATGTTGGTTTTAATGTCAGCATGCAGCGGAAGGTAAAACACCCCAGACCCATCCCGAAAGATGAGATGGCAGCTCCTGAGGGGAAAGTACTCCATTGCCCATGGAGGTCCCAGCTCTGACACATCAGAAATACAGAAAAGAAACACGTAATCAAAGGTCATTATATGCATCAAGACAACATGGATATCACACTTCCAGGAGCACTGCAAATTGCCACAGAAGAGGCACCATTTCAGACCCTCTCCTGCTGCAAGACCTCTACAGTTTCAGCCCCTGGAGCCACATATCCACTCTACAATTGGAGCTGAGCTTCTATGAGGGGCTGCACAAAGCAGAGCCAATGTCAGCCAGCTACAAGATGGACTCACCACCGGCCAAAGCCAAGCTCATCATCAATGGTGGCAGCACCTCAAGAATAACATGATTAAGTAGGGGAAAAAATCTGCTGCACAACAGTAGCCAGAAGGAAGGAGTGGACTGTGTGAGAGAAACAACTCTGCAGACACCAAAGTCAGTGCAGAAAGAGGGGAAGGAGGGGCTCCAGGCACTGGAGCAGAGGTTCAGCTGCAGCCCATGGAGGGGCAGCTGTGCCCCTGCAGCCCCTGGAGGAACCTGCATCAGAGCTAATGCCCAAAGGAGGCTGTAACCCCATGGGAAGCCTGTGCTGGAGCAGGCTGCTGGCAGGACCTGTGGCACTGTGGAGGGAGGAGCCCACAGTGGAGCAGGTTTGCAATCCCACAGCAGACCCATATTGGAGCAGCCTGTTTCTGAAGGACTGCACTCTGTTGAAGGGATCGACACTGGAACAGGGGCAGAGTGTGAGGAGTCCTCCCCCTGAGGAGGACAGAGCAGCAGAGATAATGTGTGATGAAGTGACCACAGCCACCATTCCCTGTCCCCCTGCACCTCTCAGGTCAGGGGAGGAGGTAGAGAAACCAGGAGGGAAGTTGAGCCTGGGAAAAAGGGAGGGATGTGGGAAAGCTGTTTTTAAGATTTGATTTCTCATTATCCTACTGATACAAGTGACAATAAATTAAACTGATTTCCCCGAGTTGAGTCTGGTTTGCCCATGACAGTAACAGGCAAGTGATCTCTCCCCATCCTTATCTCAACCCACTAGCCTTTCGTTATACTTTTTCTCCCCTGTCCCACTGAGCAGGGGAGTGAGAGCAGCTCTGGTGGGCACCTGGTGTCCAGAAAGGGTCAACCCACCACACTTCTCCCCAGAGAGCAGGTTATGATGGCCAGGTGGAGATTGCAGGTGAAAGACACAGCCTTGGCTTTGCCCTCACCAAGTACTTCTGGCCTTCTGAAGATGGGCTACACCAAAATTCAGAGTACTGAAAAACCTACCAGCGTGTTTCCATTGCTGTCCTTCTGGCATCTGGGTGTTTCTGGATACATCAGAGGGATCCCAAGGCATTTGGTCTCTTGATAGTGTTCCTCCCCATGGAGCTGCAGGAAGATCAGGGTGTGCAGGAGTGGTGCTGAAGGAGGCAGTTCTCTGCTGTCCTGCACCCACTCGAAGAGCTTCTGTGGTTTTCTGCATTTTACATCCCCCAAGGAGGGAGGCAGGAGCCAGTTTGTCACTAGCAGCTGTGTCCTGATGCTGCACAGGCACCATGTGCTCCTCTCTCCTCACCCCCCAGATGTCAGACAGGGAAGCTGGTGCCACCCCAGAGCCACTGCTCACACAGCCCTTGGGCAGAGGAAGCCCCACACCAACTCCCCTAGAGCTTTCCAGCAGGGAAATATCCATGAGCTTTGTATGTTGGAGGCCAGTTGTTCCCAGCTCAGATTTAGGTATGGACAAGTGCCTTAAACTGCTTTGGCAGCTCAGGCTTCTCTCAGGTAGCAGATGCAAGTGGTCCTTGTTTACCATTTCATAGTGGCTGCTCAGGCTGGGTGTCAGGCCCTGTGCAAGGCCCTCGGCCTCACTGCTCACTGTGCCATCAGCTGGGATGCTCAGCTGGGGATGGCTTTCACCCTTCTCCAAGCTGACTGTGCTGAGCCGCTGGTTCCTGGTGGTACCTGTGCTTTCTTGGCTTTCCCCTCTGCCAGGGGACACAGACTGTGAGTGTGCAGCTGAGTCCAGGTAACTTGTGCGTGTTGGTTTAATAGTAAATTGTAGGTCACCCAGACCTTTTGGCTTCAAGGTAGCACTCAGGACAGACTGGCTGGTCTCCAGACTCACACCTGCTGGCTGCAAAAGAGGTTCTGCCGCATGCAAGGCACTGAGCAAAGGAGTTTCCAAATGCACACTTGAAAGCCTGTGCATATAACCAAAACCCACAGTGATGTCCCCACTCACAGAGAGACTCTGCCCCCAGCTATCCTGTGCTGCAGTGGGGATTATACCCTCAGGTGTTCCTGTGCCTTGAGCTTCCTGAACCCCCGGCAGCTCAGATCCCAGCTCACCAGGAGCTTTTGTTTCCAGAAGCAGTGTCTTTGCACGTTCACGTGGGATAAGCTCAATAGGACTTTCCACAGCCATAGTATCCAGAGTGATCCCTCTTTCCTGCATCGGCTCACCACTTAGCACTGTGGTCTCGCCAGGGTTCATGGTGCTACATGGGGTTGCCAAGCCCAGCACATTTCTAAGGTTTTCAACACAGCCAGACTGAAAAATACTGTCTTGCTTTGGTAGTTTTGGAGTAGGAGTTTCAGAAATCCCATCATCTTTGGAGGAAGATTCACCTTCCTGGTCTTGGAAGATGTAGTATTTCCCTTTAAACTGTGCATCTCTGCAGTTTGGCAAGTACCTCTTCAGCAACACAACGTGGACAGCCTGAGCAAAGGTGGCAAAAACGTGCATCTCCTTTTTCCAGCAAGAGTAAACAACACTGTTTTCCACCAGTGAAGAAACTCCTTCAAATAGAATTTTGTCCTCATTTTTGTTGCAGTCCTCCTTAGCGTTAAAGCCTTGAATATAAATTATTATATGCTTTCTGGAGCCTGCCCAGATTGTCCAGTTGCACCAAAAGCTTACGGGGAAATCACCACGGTATGCTGGAGGAAAAAACTCCCCATACTTGTCCTTCAGAACTCTATGGCAGCTTCTTATAGGCACATATGCCAATATCCAGGGAGACTCTGGCTCTGGAAGACAAGAAGCAACAATGAAGTTTTCCCCCATTCCCCGTTCCAGAGTTACCAGTCCTTATTAGCAGAAATTATTTTAAAGGTCGCTCTTCTCCCCATTTTGCTGCCTCCTGCTCCCATTTGCCAATCAACATGCAAATCCATCAGCAGAAGAACGTGCAAGTAACTCTGTGTCAGGTCTGGAGGTTGAGGCCACTTGAGTGTGCACCCACACACCAGCCTGGGGTGTGCCTAAAACTGCCAACCCTTCCAGCCCAAGTGGCTGTTTCCATCCACACCTGCCAGAAACCTACCCCAAGCTTTTGCCCCATCAGTGCTCGCCCCACCTGTGTGTGCCACTCCAGAGTGCTTGGAAAGCTGGAGAAGCCCTAGCTGCCACCACCACCTCCTCCTGCTCCATGTGGAGCCAGGCTGTACCCTCACTGCTACCACCCCAGAGCAGGGCACTCTCACACTTTAAGTTCCCCCTGCCACAGCCATGCAGGAGCACAGAAGTCCCAGCACAGCCACACAGTGGGTGCCACTTGTCCCAGGGAGGCAGATTCTCATCTGCAGGGTTAGGCTATTTAGGGATCAAAGCTAAAGGCTCGGGGAATTGCCACACCTGGGCAAGTTACAAAAGCAGTGAGTGCACTGTTACATTTGGTTTCAATACACAGGTGATGTTTGTTGTTTATACGCAGAGATGGGAGATAAAGCTCTCCTGAAGGTGTTTTCAATCTCTTTGCTTTAAAGGGCTCAGCCAAGCCAGAAGCCCTTAAAGCCTCAGTAGGATAAGCAACATAGTATCTTGTCAAAGTGTGAAGCGCCTTCCCTTAAGCAGGAAGAAATACAGTGTTTTCCAAAAACACCATCTCAAAGCTAGAAGAGTCACAGGTTCAGAACAGGTTTACCCTACAGGAGCACAGTTGAAGTTTGGGTTGAACTTCTGCTACTTGTTTTAATTGCTGCAGTGCATTGCTCCTGCCTCCAGGACCTGCCCTGTGGTAGGGATTTGGCAGCCACAGGATAGTGGCACAGGTTCTCTCCCACACTAGCACTGATTTTTCCTCACCCCAACACCCAATACTGATCAGCCACATCCCCTTTCCTCTCCATACCACCCCCAGGGCCGGGTTGTTGTTCCTGACTTTCCATACCACTTATTGTTGGCTTGAGGTACCCAACAAATTCTGGGTAGAAAAAAAGACTAGTCTGAGAAATAACTCTTACCTGGTTTAACCTTCCGATATTCCTGAGAGGATGCCTGTGCCTATAAAGAAGAGAGAGTCCTGTTGCAGATCCAAGTACCACTGCCCATGCTTATAATGCTGCTCAGAGAAATGCCAATCCAAGCCCAAGGGGAAGGGAGCACCAAATCCACCATGGTGGATTGAGGTTTTGCCTGCATGTGGACCAAGCCCCAAGGCCACCTTGTTTATTCCGTGTGATAATAAATCTTCACCCCTCCCTACATCCAGAAGCATTGCCCAGTTTACACTGTCGGACCACAGCCAATACAAAACCACACCCAAAACACAGCAAGAAAAGCCCAACTGTGCTTTAATCCATAGAGGCCACACAGAGGAGAAGGATTTGTAAGCAGGCAGGACACTGCACCCAAGAAGGGAGTTTCCTCCAGGCAACTGAGTCCCCTCTTCCCATCACTCACCCTTGGCGCAGCATCAGAGTAGGATCTCAGCATCACCCTGGGAGCCTGCCCACCAGCAGCTGGCCCCCACACCCCAAGCACCAGGAGCAGAGCAAGAAGCAACAGGGAGGGCAAAGGCTTCATGGCAGAGGTTTACCAGGAGCACAACATTGAAACGAGACCACAAAAAAAGAGAAGAAAACCCCAGCTCTCCCCTCCCTAAAATAATCCACCAGGCAGAGCAAACGTGGGATCACCACCTTTCCCAGCCTCTCTCCAAAACACATCCCTACAGTGGAGGGGCTGGCCTAGTACCCACTCACTCATATATGGCCCTGCTACACCTGTGACAGCAATTAGCTAATCAAAGAAATGAGGCCAGCTGTCACTTGTTAGGGACATACTTGCCCTTTCAATTTGCTGTGCAAGTATTCTTTCTTTGCTGGATGTTTGAGTGAGAAGGCATTTGTCCATTTTTAACACATAATGCTATAACCTGGAATTAAAGTGATGCTGACACCCCAACATGACACAGAAGGTGACTGCTGTCTTAGAAAAGAAAAAAATATTCAATTGCTGAAGGGGACAAAAAAAAGCCCCAATGTAAAAGTGAGTGTTTTCATCACAACATTTTAACTGGCTTCTGCTGAAGGCTGTGATTTTCCCCAGGGCTGCACCATCCTGACGCAGGACTGAGCAAAAAAAGGTGAAACTGCCTTGAAATACAAGCACCTTCTCTCCTCATCTGCACTTACTGAAGTGTGGAAAGCAAATAGCCTGGGTGATGATGTATAAATTATTAGATGCTTAAAATTCTTTCAGTTGTAACAGTCTAACTTGTCATTAGGGGCCACACAGATTAGGCAGTCAGGCTGCTTGACACGTGGCTTTGACAATATTCCCTTTAAAACGTCAGTCATCACTTAGCCAAATAAAATGATAAATTCCTTTTTTTCTTCTAGTCATCACAGCTTGACAGGCTGATGGGTGTTCAGGGACAAATACACCCATGGGTTTTATGTGGGTCAAAACAAGCAGTGCATCAGACCGTCCCAGTCATCTGGGTTTTCAGCAAGCAACCGCATCCCAGCTCCCAGGTTTTAAGCTTTTCCGCCCATCTCAGTGCAGTACCAATGACCAAATGGGCAGTGAGAGCCTGTCATTCTTGCAGCAGGACAAACCTCTTCCTCCCACAGCCATCTGTCTGTAACTGCACATGTTCAAAGCGATCCTAAATCCCCTCTTTCAGTCCTACGGCAGGTGTGGACAGACCTGCAAAACCCCTTCCACACTTATCATAAAAACACAGAATCTTGGAAAAACACTCCAAGATCATTGAGTCCAACCACTAACTCTACACTGTCAAGCCCACCACTGAAGCATGTCCCTGAGAGCCACATCTGCACGACTTTTGAATCCCTCCAGATATGGAGTCCTTGTCCTTATGGGGAACTTCAACCTGCCAGATGTTAACTGAGAACACCACACAGCTGGCACAAACAGGTTCTAAAGATTCCTAAAACTCCTGGATGATAATTTAATGGTACAAGTACTAAGAGAGCTGACTAGAAAAGATGCCCTCCTTGATTTGTTGCTTCCTAACAGAGAGTGTCCCATGAGTGAAGTGGTGATTGAAGGTCACTTTGGCCACAGTGATCATGAAGCAATCGAGTTTAAAATCTCTGTTGACAGAAGGAAAAGTGCCAGCAAAACCTCAATCCTGGACATGAGGAGAGCAGACTTCAGGCTGCTCAGGGAACTAGTCAGTAAGGTCCCCTGGGAAAATGCTTTTGAAGGTGCTGGGGTCCATCAGTGCTGGTCACTTTTTAAGCACCACCTCCTAAGGGCACAGGAGCAGGCAATTCCCAAATATTGGAAATCAAGCAGACGAGATAGAAGGCTGTCTTGGCTGAGCAGGGATCTTCTTCTGGAACTGTGGCAAAAATGAAAGGTGTATGCATGCCTAGTGGAAGCAAGGTCAGGTGATGTGAGAGGAATACAGAGATGCTGTTCTCCACTGCAGGGAGAAGATTCGTGCAGCCAAAGCTCAGTTGGAATTTGAAGCTGGCCAGCAATGTGGGGGACAATAAAAAGAGGTTTTTAAAATACATTAATAGGAAAAGGCAATGCAGCCTGTTGCAGGGTGAAGATGATCACCTCACAAACAGGGATATAGACAAGGCAAAGATGTTTAATGCATTCTTTGTCTCTGTCTTCAACACTGATAACAAATTAAGGGGGTCCCAGTTCCCTGAGCTGGAGGACCATTTCAGTGAGAATGATAAACTCCAAGTTGACCCTGATCTGCTGCTCCAGGTGGACCCCCATAAGTCTATGGGGCCTGATGGGATTCATATGAAAACACTCAAAGAGCTGGCTGGTGTCATTATGAGGCCTCTCTCGATGATTTTTGAACTGTCTTGGGAATCCAGAGAGGTCCCAGTTGACTGGAAGCTGGCTAACATTGTCCCAGTTTTCAAGAAGGGCAAGAAGGGTGACCCTGGAAACTACAGACCTGTCGGTCTCGCTTCAGTGACTGAAAAGTTATGGAGAAGATTATTCTGGGAGCTAGTGACAAATACCTGAAGGACAACACAGTCATTAGTCACAGCCAGCACGGCTTCATGAGGGGAAAGTCCTGCTTGTCAAACCTAATTTCCTTTTATGACAAGGTAACCCACCTGGTTGATCCAGGGAAGACAGTTGATATAATCTTCTTGGATTTCTATAAAGCTTTTGATACCATTTCTCACAGGATCCCTCTGGACAACATGTCCAGCACACAGCTGGATAAACATGTCATGTGATGGGGACCCTGCTGCAAAGCAGGGAGGTCCCCAGGGTATCATCTGGTTTACAAGGAGAACAGGAGCATTTGCTTCATATTAGCTTAACAGATGGTACAGCAGAGATGGTGAAATAAATCGTAAGGTCAAGTTTATTTTTTATTTGCTGATATGTAAGTATTTGAGTGAGGAATTTTAATGTGCAGGGGAGTTTTTTTGGTTTGTTGGTAGAAATTCTTTGAGTTTTAGCCTATTTCTATAAAAACATAAATTACCCATTAGGATGTTTGGCCCTTTTGACTGAATCCTCATGCTCAGCAGTTGCTGATTCTTACTTATTGTGGGCACACCTGGCCCAAGATTATCTCTTGGGGAAGAGCTGGTGGGCATGTTCCCACTGACCCTGAGCCAAGTTACACAAACTCTGCACCATGGGGCCAAAAACCCCTAATTGCATGTCTCAGCCTTTCTACCAGCTCCTGCACTCCCAATTTCTTGGGATGGCACTGCATCTCTCCCAGGATGAGCTGAGGGACTCAACATGACCTTCAGCAGCCAAGCAGCTCCTCAGGTTGCCAAGGCACCAGGGCTGGCCACAGCTAAGAGGGACACAGCCAC